GTGTTGTGAAGTGACATTTTTGCCCCCACAGTGTGATTAATACAAGGGGACTGAGGGAAAGGAAGCAAGAGTCAAACAGAAACACTGATACTTATGCTGATGTTGACAATAATATGATTAAACAGGAGACTGACTTACTAATGATAACGATAATATAGCCTGACTGACACATTATACACATCCCAGACACTCAAATCTGATTTAATCATTGTACAGTTTAGCTTCCAGTGAGTTTTTTAGTGTTCTTCAGCAGCTCACATAGGAACGCAAAGCATGCCAACATCTCCCGAATAGATCAAAATATTTTACCCATTAGTCTCCAATTTGAACCATAGAATTATGTCCTTCATACAGATGGGTGACAAAAAAAAACTCAATAAATGAGTGGAGAAACATAACAAATCCAGACACTTCCACACAGTTACCATTTTATGGTACAATTAAGCAATTAGCATCCAATCATGCTCTGTGTCATGTATAAAAATGCTGAATAGGGGGCGCCCTGGTGGCTCATATGGTAGAGCTGGCGACCAATGTACTAAAGCTGAGTCCTTGCTGCAGTGGTCATGGGTTTGACTCCAACCTGTGGCCCTTTGCTGTGTGTCATCCCTTCTCTTTCTCTACAGCTGTCATTGTCAAAGGCAGTGGCCTCTTCCAGGATGACAGTGCCCCCATCCATAGGGCACAAGAAGTCACTGAATGGTTTAATGAGTATAAATGTGAATCATATGCTATGGCCTTTGCAGTTACCAGATATCAACCCAATTAAACACCTATGAGATATTGTGGATGGTGTTAGACAGTGCTCTCCACCACTTTCATCAGAACAATGAATGAGGGAATATCCTTTGGAAGAATGCTGTTCATTCCTCCAGTAGAGTTACAGAGACTTAGAGGACAAGTGTAAAGGCACACTGAAGCTGCTCTGATGGCACATGGTGCCCCAACACCTTACTAAGACACCATTTTCCCTTTAATTTGATATCTGTACATGCGTTTTGTAGATCTGTCCAAGACATTGGATATTGTTGATTATAATAGTTTGTTTTTAAAAAGGTTGCTTTTTATGTTTCCCACAAGGATCTCAAAATCAACATTTCAATGTTTATTTATATGTTTTTTACAGTTAAAAATAAAATGTAATTAAATAAAGTAAATTTTAATGGAGTTATGTGGGAGTATTTGAACACCTCTGCGCTAAAACACAGAGCTAAAAAGGTTTCAGCCTAAAAAGCAATTAATCCCACACAAATACGTCAAACTGTGCTTGGTCCTAATACAGAGGGAGCAGAATGAATCAGTGGTTAAATGTTAGGCGTACTGCAACAAAAAAATAAAGAAAAATAAGATGTCAGACTGATTATTATGATAATAAACTCTTGTCCTCTTATCTTTAGATTTTATGGGCCATTCTTTGTGTTAGACCTTTATGTTTTACTCGATATTGCGTCAAAACCACCCTCCACTTCCTCTGCAGAACACAGCACAATAAGGACGCGAGGACAGACTGCCGTCCCCACACAGATTCCTCAGCTGGGCAGAAATTAAAATGTTTGATCTGAATTCTGAAGCTGTTTGTTTGGCCTCTGTAAATGGGCCTATTGTATGCAAATATTGCGCACAGAAGCATATGACCTCTCCAGTGCAGGGCAGTGGCTAGTGTGAGAGAAATCATTAGCAATGCAAAGTCATGGTGCTCTGATACTCTTGTTCACAGTCACAGATTGAAAAAAATCTGCTAATGTCAACGTAAATGTTTCTGGATGTGCTTTATTCCAAACTATAGCTGAAGGTAAGTCTGCTTTGTTTTTAACTCTTTCTAACTGTTGTCAGATCATGTAGCTGAGAAAATAGTTCAGTGTGTTCAGCTGGTTAAATCTGTGCTAATGGGGAGTTTGTGCTTTACTGTTATGTCTGAACTTAACTGTGTAGAGTTGGGAAGATTTATTAACAAAGAATATACAGTTAGAGTTACAGATAAAACTGTTACACTTCAGCAGGTTTGTTTGTTATTTATTTTATTTATTTGATCCAAAAGACGTTTCCTTTCTTATAGTGATAATCAAACAAAACAGTATTATTTTCACAGTCCATCAGTCATAATTTACCTATAACTATACATCTGGTCACAAAGTAGAGTTCAAGTACACGGTTAATAATAATTCTAAATCATCATCAGGTTAGAATCAGAGGATTCCTTCTCTAATCCTCGTCGAGACACTTTTCAACCGCAAATTATTTTCCTGCCAAGAATTAAAGAGTATTAGAGACACCGTTACGTTGGGTGCAGATGCCCACTTTGCATGCTACCCCATGGCGACTGGTGAAAGCATGTCACATGACTCATGGTGCCAGACTTCAGAGTTGCACTCTTAAGTGGCCTGCCAACTGCAGAGGGGGGCAGAGAGGCTTCCTTCTTCTCTGGACTCACATCCATGCCAAACCAGCGGGTCAACATTGTCCTCTACGCTGCCTCCTATGCCTCTTACACCTCCTGCTGAGCCGGGTAACAACTTAGACATTTATACTAGACTGGAAATTCATGCATGTTGGGGACACAGGACAACCAATAATGATCAGCACAGAGGGGATGAAATATTTGGGATGGACTAAATTGTTCCACCTATAAAAGTACAGTATTATGTTGGTTATTTTATAAGTATTCATATTTTTAGCTTCTTTTATAATGTCATTCTCTTAAGTCTCTGGGCTGGATAGGTAGAAAACAACCTCTTTACTGTGAGACTACAGTGGTTACTTGTTCTGCAATGCTCTTTATGTACTTGAGCAACTTCTGCAACTAATAATTATTTTCATTATTGATTAATCTGCTGATTATTTTTGAATTATTCTGTTAATCGCTTAAACTATAAAATGTCTGAAAATATTGTCAAAATACAAAATAGTAGCTGATTTTTTTATTATTACCTAATTTAATAATTGCCTAATTATTTCAGATCTAATAAAACGCTGTTAAAATCAGCTGTGACTGAGAGGCCAGTTTTGCGCATACTTCATCATCACAGTAACAGTAACTGCTGTGATACCTTTAGCAAGTTCATGTCATTTTAATAAGAAAATAATATTTGTTGGTGATTTGTAATTTTTCAACAAAATGTTTTGAAGGTATCTACTAATCAGGAACTGCATAGAGTCTGGAGGTTATACTGTATTAAGTCAAAATGAGAAGAAATTATTGGACTGTATGGAAGCCGAGAACGGCCGTGCTTGCAATATTTTTTTTTTTTAATTCCGTTATCTTGCAATTGAAGTTAATTATTTTGTCATCTTAAGAAATCTGCTTTTTGAGATTTCTTGATCATTAACTAAAAATCATTTCAAGCACAGCCGTTCCCAGTTTCAGTTTAATCTTTTATTAAATTATGGTAAGTACTCTATGATAACTGTGAACATTTGAGAAAAATTTGGGAACGGGATCTTAATTCAAATTCAGGAGAATATATTTGGGAAAACACGGTGGCTCATGCCAGGCGGTCAGTTTGAAACACAGTCAGCAAATTTACTACAAAAGGTATTATTACACACTAGTTAAACACCCAAAAAGAAGAAAGAAAGAAGTTCTGGAGAGTGGCTGAATAAACCACTGCCAGAATCTCCCAAGCTTTGTTCATTATTAAGGCAGATGCCTCAAGGATTCTGACAAAGTCTGATTTTGCTGAAGGGTTAAAATAAATGATGGTCATTGAGTCTTTTGAATCTCTAATTTTCTAACATTCTCTAACAAAGGTTATTGGTTTGTGTTTTTGTTTCTAATAGCTATTACAGCTAGCTTTTATATGGTCAGATGTGTTCTGTTTATTCTGTTCTGTTTGCTTTGTCTTGTGTTGCATTATTGTTCTTTACGGATGGGAAAAACTTTAATTTAAACTTTAAAAAGAAAATAATATTCAGCCCAATATGTTCTCGGTTGTTGACCCTCTGATGTGTTTGTTTGCCCTTTCTCCATCAGACCCGGAACTAAAGATGAACTGGGCATCATTTTATGCTGTCATCAGCGGTGTGAACAGACACTCCACAGGCATCGGTCGCATCTGGCTTTCTGTCCTGTTCATTTTCCGTATCCTGGTTCTGGTGGTTGCAGCAGAGAGCGTTTGGGGTGACGAGAAGTCCGGTTTCACCTGCAACACCCAGCAGCCGGGTTGCAACAGTGTCTGCTATGACCACTTCTTCCCCATCTCCCACATCCGCCTCTGGGCACTCCAGCTCATCCTGGTCTCCACTCCTGCCCTTCTGGTTGCCATGCATGTGGCCCACCGCCGTCACGTCGACAAGAGGCTCTACAAACTATCAGGGCGGACCAACCCCAAAGACCTGGAGCAGATAAAGACCCAGAAGATGAAAATCACAGGGGCTCTCTGGTGGACGTACGTCATCAGCCTGTTGTTCCGTATTGTCTTTGAGGTCACCTTTATGTATTTGTTTTACATGATCTACCCTGGTTACAAGATGATCCGGCTGGTAAAGTGTGACTCGTACCCCTGTCCCAACACAGTGGACTGCTTCGTGTCGAGGCCCACAGAGAAGACTGTCTTCACCGTGTTCATGTTGGCTGCGTCAGGGGTCTGTATTCTGCTCAATATCGCAGAGGTGGTCTTCTTGGTGGGGAAGGCCTGCAGTAAGCATTTAAACAATGCTGGAGACTCGACTATGGGGGCTTGGATCCAGCAAAAGCTTTGCTCGTACTAACCAAACTCATACCTGCACAAAGGGACATATGTAAGTGACCTTAGATCCAGGTAACATCCATTAATTTAACTTTAAGGTGCATATAATATATTGTACACCGAAGTTTGGCATGGTGATGAGTATGATCTCAGTGACAAAACATTTGTTGCCAACATGGGGAAAAAATTAGTGTACAGACTACACGTTCACACCAGCGTGTTCTCACCAGACTTAAAATAATGACCAAAGACTACAGCAGCACTTTGTACTGACATAATATAACAGCTTGATGTTAGGCCAAATAAAGATCAGTGAAGTAACGCTATGAAGCAATATTCAAACTGACCCCCTTATAAATCATTTAATGTGACGTATTGTCACATGCTTTTTAAAATCGTCAGATACTGTCAGTAAAGTGTGCCAGAAATACAATGTAGTAATATTTGGGCCACTTTAAGTTATAATATTTAATCATTTACATTAAAAATGTCATGTTTTTGCTTGAATCACCATAAAGTGAATCTAATGGACTGGAGAATTTACAGCGTTTTTTACAGCTGTTATTACTGAGTTGTTACTAATACATGGAAAATATGTTGCATTTCATAAATGTTATATGATACTGTATTTGTTTAATATAGATTATTTAATTTGGCAGTTAAATGGTTCATTCAGTTATAAACAAAGCAATAATTAACAGAAAAAAAACTTGAATTTTTGAACTTTTTTTTTTCCTGAAGTTGACTACTGATTGCTAAACGTGTTATTTAAATGTATTCATTTTGAGGCTGGATGTTTATATATTGTCAGTACACAGCAGAATAAAATCAACCAGAGTTTGTGTAATTGTGTAATTTCTGCTAGGGTTTCTCACTAAATTCAAAATCTGATTTACAAATTCTAGAAGACAGGATAACACATGCTGAAATAACTCTATGGCTTCTTAAATTGTCCAATATGACTCCAACAGGAGGATTGTGGTGTATTTTGATAGGATTTCCTGACTAATTGCAAATACATCATGTAATATCTTACCTATCACCATAGAGCAGCTGTTATCTGCAAGAAGAAATTAAGCTGCAGTCACAGTGGTGCCACTTTCTGTGACTCTTCACAGCTGTCAGCAGTGTGACTGAGAGGAAACCAGCAAAAAACATGAATGAAACCTCATCACAAATGAAGTGGCAGCATCACCATCTTTAGACGAGAGCTCCTCGGAGCCGTGATGCCACCTGTGGCGACACATCTCAGGCTGATTAAGTTCTCCTTTTTCCTTTTGAAGGCCATTGGTTATCAATAGCCTGGCCATGTAAGGGGTCAGTGTGTGGGTGACAAAGGTTGACCCCACGGACAGCTGGACCTGCCTTGACCAAGCATGAAGGCACTTCTCTTTTTATGGAACTCGTCGACAGACACCATCTATAGAGTTAAGACCGACAAGAGGCATATAGGCAGCACTGTACCAAAAGCAAATTCCTCCAATCTGTTATTCCTGTCTGTGATTAGTGGTGACCGTGTGTCACATGCAAAGTTCATGTTATTTGTGGGGCATCTTAGTCCCGCCCACACACATTTTGTTTGGATTGGAAGGATTGGAAGAGTTTCTTTATAGAACTTCATCAGAAGGAGGTTGTTTTGTTTGTTTGTTTAAAGCAAATGATCGGTTATTGGGTTGTTAGAAAATTCAGCCACAGCATTGCTCAGCTTTTACATTAATCAGTGATCAGTCTAAGTGATAATATGTATGGCGAGTTTAATGGCAAAAGTCCTCACTGATCAACTCCTACTGTGTTGTGTGGCAAAAGCGGAAATATTCATAATTTACTTCACTAAATAAAACATGTCCAGCATTAGATATGTACTTAATTTGACTTACAGTTAAGTTAAAGAAGCATTATAAGCAATATAAGTAAAAAGTACTACTAAAAGTATTATGTACAGTGGTTCATATTATGATATATTACAGTATATTGCTTTTTTTCTTACTGATGCAATCAAGTGTACGTAGTGTACGTGTATTTTAACGAGGTGTACCAGATTTATCTAATTTACATACATTTTGACAGTGTAATCTGTAACAGTCCAACATATTTTAGAGCTGATCATATGTTTTGGATGAACATTTGAACTAAGTAGTAGACAGCTGTCAAATAAATGTAATATTAAGTTAACGTAAAAAGTAGCAGAAGGTGGCAATACTCAAGTAAAGTACAAGTCAAGTACATCAAAATTGTACTTAATAGCACTTGAGTAAATGTACTGTACTGATGAATGCAGCCACTGTTGTGTGGTCTGCACCAGAGCAACATGATGCAGTAAAGAACTGAGTGAACTTTCAGATGACACTAAAGAACAGGATCAAGTTTATATATCTTTGTCTTACCACCGTGCATAAAGCCTGTCAGTCATATAACAAGCAGTAACGCTCACTGCAGCACCGAGGGACGGCTCTACAATGTCTGACGCCCCTCCACACAGTCAAGAGTCAGATCCTCCTGAGAGTGACAACAAGGCCACTCCCTTCACTGTGAATTATATTTAGAGCACACTGACATGTACGACTAACCTGGATCCTCACTGGACCCTTGAGCTGCCACTCAGCTGAACAGAAACACCTCTTAAGCGAGGGCTTTTATACTTTTCTACAAGTGGGAATGTTTTCATCTGTGCTCGCTCTGGGACCAGACAGGGTTTAGTTGTGGTGGCTTGCTGAACACTGGGCATTGATCAGGTCAGAGTGGGAGGGCAGCAGGCGTGATCACAGAGCCTCCAGTGAAAACTGTGTGAGAGAAGTTTATCTTGGCGCTGCAGTTTTCTCAGTGGTTCAGTAGAACATGGCCTCTCTATGAACTGAAGAGGCTCAGTCAACAAGTGAATCTGGATCGGCACTGTTGTGGGAGATGAACAGTACCAGGTATGTCTTTCTTAATGAAAAAACAGAGATATTTACTTTGAATGTCTTACTTCTATATAAATGATCACACTATATCTAAGTATGAATTAATGAATGAAGCCCTGGCTCAGTTTGAAGTATACTTACACCAGTTACGACTGTGTGAAAAGTATTTACAGAATTCTTTTATTACTGGTTGACAAACTTTATTATTATGAGTAGTATTTCAAACAGGTGCTCAGATTCTCTGAGTCTACTGTTTCTGTTTCTAAAGGACAAGTACAACTATTTTTAAAGTTGATTTTTGCTATGTTAGACCAACAGGCCCTGAAATCTAAACTAGAAACCTAATTCTGGAGTCGGGGAGCACTGTTGGGTACTGTGTCACAAGATCTATGCCGAAGCTAAGAGTCTCCCCAGCCTGCTCCAGGGCTTTCTCTCATACACAGTGAGCTGTGTCCTGGCCCTTTTTTATCAGCCTTCAGTGGATAGGACACAACCTTTGGGAATACAAACAGTGAATTCATGATCAATCACTGTTTCTATTGGTAAATCTGCTCTGGGTTTTCTGACGTACAGTAGCCTTTGGTTGTGGGAGGATACCATATTTACAATGATATACACACAAGGAATGTCATGATTAAACTGGACAATAACTAAACTGTTTTGACTTAATATGCTTATTTGATTAAATGTGATTATATTGTAAGATTTAATCTTAAAATAAGACTAATCAGATAAATTATTAAGGCACTATTGTAAATCATAGTTCCCCACATTTAAATGTGTGACACAAACATTGCGCATGCATAAAATCCATTTCTCTATTTGATATCAGATTTATTTGGATCCTGCTGTGACCCCTTGCTTCTTTAAAGGTCCATTGCGTAACATTTAGGAGGATCTATTGACAGAAATGGCATATAATATTCATAGATCTGTTTTCATTAGTTTATCATCACCTTAGAATAATAATCATTGTGCGCTTTTTTTACCTAATAATGAGCTGTTTTTATCCATAGAGGGAGTGGGTCCACCATGTTGAACCACCAACCAAAAACTCGCATTTTACACAAGTTTCTCTTAGATACTTGGTAAGCTGAACTGTATTCAGATGGTCCTTTAAAGCTGATAGAAATGACAATGTGTAATGTGAATGGGGTTATTCATACACCCACATACATTTATCAGCAAGCAAGTAAGCAAGGATACAAAAAAGATTCACAACCAAACAATGTAGGAAGTAAAGGCTTGATGTGTAGCTTGATGCCATACTGTACCAACCTGTTTAAATGACTAGGACAGACTCTGCCACATTACTGTGTTTATTCTTTCCAAGTAAAAATAAAGTTGTCTGATGAAGCTTGTACCTTTACATTTTAAATGTTTCCCCTCTTCCTATAGGTGTGTCTTCTGGTTTTGTGGATAAAACTGAATCAATATTGGTGAGCCAGTATGGGGGACTGGAACTTGCTGGGGAAGCTGCTGGAGAGTGCTCAGGAACACTCCACCGTTGTGGGCAAAGTCTGGCTGACAGTGCTGTTCATCTTCCGCATCCTGGTGCTGGGAACTGCTGCTGAGAAGGTGTGGGGGGACGAGCAGTCCGGCTTCACGTGTGACACCAAGCAGCCCGGTTGTCAGAATGTCTGCTATGACAAGACCTTCCCTATTTCTCACATCCGCTTCTGGGTGATGCAGATCATCTTTATCTCCACACCAACTCTCATTTATTTGGGCCACATCCTTCATCTGGTTCGCATGGAGGAAAAGGAGACACAGAAAGAGAAAGACCTTGCCATCCAGATTGAAAAGCAGCAACAGGTACTTGGCAACAAGGCCAAGAAGGCCCCAATTAAAGACAACCAGGGCCACGTGCGTTTGCGCGGCACACTGCTGCGAACATACGTCTTCAACATTATTTTCAAGACCCTGTTTGAAGTGGCCTTTATTGTAGCTCAGTACTTTCTGTATGGTTTTGAGCTGAAACCGATGTACACCTGTGACCGCTGGCCTTGCCCTAATGTGGTGAACTGCTACATCTCCCGACCCACTGAGAAGACAATCTTCATCCTCTTCATGCTGGCCGTGGCCTGTATCTCCCTGCTGCTCAACCTGGTGGAAATGTACCACTTAGGTTTCACAAAGTGCCGCCAGGGCCTTCGTTACAGACGATCCCAGGCTGCAAGTGAGGCTCCAAAGGCCCTAACTGAGACTGTCATGCCCTTTGTCCCAAACTACAACTACTTTGCTGGTCATCCTGAACCTTTTCCTACGGATTCAAAGTACAGCATGGCAGAGCCAAACACTGCTTACAGCCCCTACAACAGCAAAGTGGTTTACAAGCAGAACAGAGACAATATGGCTGTGGAAAGAAAAGGAAAAGCAGAGGGAGATGATGTGAAGGAAAGACAAACCTCCACTCCTGCCTTTGAGTTTCCTGTTGAAAATCAGCGTCGAAACAGTCAGTCAAGCAAGCACAGCACTAACAAGAGCAGAATGGATGACCTGAAGATCTAGGGAATTTCCATGCCTCTAAGCAAGACTCAGGAACCACATGTATTAGGCTGTAAAATATGGAAGGTTATTAGGAACAAAACTACAGAGAGAGTACAAAACAGATCATAGCTGTAAGAAATTTGTAAGTCTAGATTTGGGAATAGGGTCAGATTTGTAAATGTAGAACTAGTATTGAGTGCAAAATCTGGATATTTTTGAGAACTCTCACAGTACTTTTTAATGTGAGAGATCATTACAAACTGGCTTTAAAAGGACAAACCCATAAATGGCTCTTACAGCCATATTTTAAGCAATCTAATAGGTACAGAACAATCAGTGTGACGTTACAGACAAGGGTTAATATGATGACACTAAGCTAAGCAAGTTCTAATTTTCATTCAAATCGCAGTCTTAATTCCTCACAATTCTTTGTTTGCACTCAAAAATATTCTGTGTCTACAAACTGCCTACATTTTCTGAAATGTTGACCTATGCATTAATAAAAAAAATATTTTTGCCCTCACTCGTTTTGGCATTAATGAACTCCCATATGTGTGTGACGTGTAGATGCAGGTAACATGAAAATTGTTTTGTTTACAAACAATTTACCTAAAAATCAAAAGCAAAAAGACTGTTGTTTGAGAAACAGACCAGAATAAACCTCTTATGGCAGTTTGAATATGTGAAAAACAAAACTCCAGCGTTTGTTGTCATGTTGCTGTAAATGTGGAGTGCACACAACTAAAAGGTAAATTATACATTTAAGAGCCATGTCGTTTACCATGAGAGACTTCTCAAATGCTGTTATCTTTTCAGGAAACTTGAGACAAGTGTTTCCACTGAACATTTATCAATATGATAATATGAATTTTCTACAAAAAGCAGATATGTTAACATCCACAAACCAACTATTATACTTGCTTATTTGTGACTTTGTAATTTGATTAAATTGGTGTGCAGCAAACAAGTGTCAGCATTCTTGTTTTAAGTCAGGTATAAATAAGATCTACTGTCTACTGTGATCATTGAGAAGCTAAAAATAACGTCCATTTCTTTCTCACTTAAAAATGTCACAGATATACTTTGGTGGTATTTCTACAGCTCACATGAAGCTTTTTTGCAACATAGCTACTACCCACTACTGGAGGCAATAAAAAATAAAATCACAGCACTCGTATAAAGCTCTTATAAGATAATAGATGTTTCAGTGTTGATCACAGCACCAATTCATCAAATGTAAATTTAATATGTGACACCTAGATTTTAAGTATTTAGGTGTCATATACTTTAATGAGCACAGTGCAGTCACCTTATTATGAAGATTTTAATCATTTAAGTGGATGTAGACTGTTTACATTTACCTCCAAGTTAGTTATACGTATCAGACATTAACAAAAATTATTTACTTACTGATTACTTTAACAACCCCAAGTGTGTCTGAACTTTGTTTAAAAAATAAATTTAAGTGCCTTGGTTTATTTTATTATTTTTTTATTTAAAAGATCAGCATAATGTCCCATGAACTGAAAAACTGGTGTTACCATCAACAAATGGATGTGATGTTATATGTTAAATGCATGTATTACCAATTACAGAAAATCATCTTCAGTATTTGGATCAAGTCGCTTATGAAAGTTAGGGTTGTGTCAGATGAAGAAGGCTACAGACGTTATGTGTCAGATACATATTTAATCAATATTTAATTACATTTTTCATTATTTCGTAGATCGGACATGGTATCAGCAGATATCCAATGTTAAAAGATTTGGATTAGGGTCAAACAAACTAGATCCTTAGAATGATGGTCTGATCTAGAAATATAGCAAAAGGTTTAGTTCCTCAAAGGAAGGTCCCATTCTGGATCGAGATCAGGCAACAGTCTCCTGTGGACAACTGCTTTAATGTCTGTTCAAATGTTATACTCTTACCTGATTGGATGGGAGTTGCTGACCGTTATGTGAGGAAACCAATCAGCAACGAGTGTTGTAGTAAATTGATCAGATTGTTTTTTTTTTTTAAACCTGTAGATTCATTTTTGATCATTCATATTAAATAAACTGCTTAAACACCAAAATTCAATTATGTCAGATAATAAACAGGGGGGTTGTATCTGATACAAACATTGCCACATATTCTGTAGTGATTTGTGCAACTGTGTTGTGTTGTAATGTGCAAACACTGCTATAATACGATTTGCCCAGTGTATCAATGCAGCCCTGTTATTTTTTTGCCTGGAGGTGCCATTTTAGCTGCTTGGTTTCCACCAGCTGCAGTAAACACACACAGACTGAGTGCGGTGTGGATGGTCCCATTTCCAAAACACATACCATCATACACTGGTGAGAGCTATACTTCAAAGACTTCTTCACTGCTGCTATAAATAGCTCTCATGAACTCTCGGAGAAGCATTGTGGGTGAAAAGGGGGTAGGGGACCAAAAGTCTCTTCTCCTGCATCTGCAACGATAACAAGTTGTGGCCAACAATTTATTCTAAATGAAGCACTGGAGGGTACAGACACAGTTATTAAACAGCAAAACATGGTAATGAGGGTGCAGTCACTCATCTGTTCTCTGCCCTGCAGCAGGAATAACTTCAGTAATAGTTTCATTCATTCAGTTGGATAATGTAAATACTTGTTGGCTGTGAGTGATGAAGCTTTGAATCTGCATGTTTTATCTGATTTAAACTCATTGTAGAGTCTAGCTGAGAAGTTTTAAATTTAAAAGCATCAGCAGCATTTTAAAGTTGCAATATTTTTTTCATATATGGGTAACAAGGCCAGTGACATGTATGATTAAAGATCAACCAGGCCAGGCAGACGACAGATCAATAAATCAGGTTCTTCTGCTCCTCCTTGTGCTCCTAATGGTATATGCAAGAATCCAGCAGGCCTGAACGAAAACATCCAATCAGAGTCAAGAAAGATTCAAAGTCCCAGGTCGTCAAAAATAGAAACTATGGGAATGAAACTTAACAATCAACTATCCTCAAGCCTCCAACCCAAAAAGTTGGTCTTTCTCGGCTCTGATTGGTTGTTTTGGTTTAGGCCCAGTGAATTCTTGCAGACACAATTAGGAGCCAAAGGAGGAGCAGAGAAACCTATTTTTTTCATCTGTCATCTGTATCATGTACTAATGTCAGGATATAGTAAAAGTTCCAGCAAATATGACAAAAAGTTATTTTTATAAAAGTTACCAACTGCAGCTTTAAAGTTATGAACCAAAATAAGAACTCTCAAACTTCCAGAGCAGCCTGACCTCTCACGACAGGACAAGGCTGAAAACTGAACAGGTGATGGGGTTAAGGTTATGAACTCTGGGTTACAACCATATGCAACCAAATCTCAGAGCCAGAATAGTATGAGTGATACGCATAGGCCATTCATCACCGAGTCACACTGCCGCTCATAAATCACACCGGTGGCGTGCACACTTAGGACAAGTCAATGAGGAGAAATTTCACTGTTAATGATGATTTATTTAATACATGTGGTCCCATCATGGTTTTGTCATACCATAAAGAGGCTATTTTTGTTGCTGCTTTGTCACCAGTGAGTGGTCAAGACTGTAAGTGTCAAACATAAAGCCTGTTTTTCAGATCAAAATATGACCCACTAATGGAAGGAAAGACCTATGGGGTGACAAACAAGATTTGTGCTTCTCTTTCCTCAAGACATTAAAACTTGGCTTCCAGTAAATGGTAGCACCATAATTCTTTTTTTTTTAGTCTACATATTATACACATCATTAGCATGTATACTTACACTTATAAAGCCAGAAAATGAGCGAGTAGTACCAGTGTAGTTTAGTGCCTTTACTAAACTACACTAGCTAAAGTAACTACCTTTACTGTGCTTCGTTACCAAGCACAGTAATGTTTTAAAGAGGTATGGTCTTATTTACTGACCATGAAGTTGTAAACATTGCATTATAACATAACCGTCCTAACCTAATGCCAGGATTTTTCCATTAAAACCGTCATACTCACAGTGGTTGGGGCACCGTATGAGGTGGGTAATTTAAGGTTAGTGTGCCAACAGATCTGGTCAGGAAACATGCCAAGGACAGTAGATATTTATTGTTTGCTATTGGGGGAGGGAGGTCAGCTGTTGTGAGGGGGCAAAGAAGTCTGGAGCCTCTCTCACAACAACTATGACAGATACAATCAGTACTTATTGAGTCATAGCTGCGGAGGCCACCTTTTTATCGTAGTTCCTAGTGCTTAAAATACATAATTTTAATACATAATTATAAAAAAAAAAGCACTGAGCAAAACATATTACAACATGGACATGTCAGTGATTTCAGGTAAACATCTGTAACTGGACAGAATCTATTTTAGATATTGTAGAATAAAAATGATATTCTCCCTATGCCGAATATTACATTTTACACACTTAAAATCTATGGAGAGATAACGAGATGACTAAAAGATGCCTAATTTTTCTTTATATAGAGCCACCTTCTTTTCTTTGTTGTGACATCCTAAAATTATGTTTTTTTAAAAGGAATTTTTATTCTCAAACAAGAAAGTTGTCCAGCTATGACTATGTTTTTTATAAATAAAATCCTACATAACTATATGATGCGCTTTTCAGATGCATATAGACAAATATAGACATGACTTACTGACAGACAGAAACAGACAGAGGCTTATGACCCTTAAAACACGAATAAACAAATACCAGTTAGCATGTCAGTTCGATTTATGTTGTTGTGTGTAGTGCTACAGAATGAGCCAAACCTTATTATTCATAGAATCATCATCATTTATTCTGATACCTCTTTATGGAGATAAAAAAAATAAATCAGAATCAAGCAGGTAAACAGAAATAGGCTTCACATAACTTGCAAAACAAACTTTTAATCAAATGCTACAGACTATAAAAGCTGTAGACTACATTTGCACATATAAAGACTTGTTTAACCATATACTAATGCAGCTGGAGCATTGTCCATGCCCGTTGTATGCACTCTAATGCTTAATGGCAAAACTGACAGCGCGCCAGAGAGATTTCCAACCCTTTGATTTTCCTTCCTCTGTTCCGATAAAGTCATCTCCTCTAATCTATTTTCCCACCAAGAGGAAACAATTTCAGGCTAAAAAAAAAAATCATCTTAAGTGCCATTTTCCAAGAGCTATAATGACCAACATACAAATTCCTGAAAGTAAACTTGTTTTATATGATATTTATATGATATTATCAAATAATCTGAAATAGATTTAGCATGCAATTAACTGACATGAAAAACCCCACACAGAAATACTGCAACACAATCTGAAATAGTTGGACAATGGTCAGATGTGACCGTTTTAAATAATGGAAATAGGGTTGGTGTTTAGAAAGGTTGCTAAATGATCAGCTCCTGGAGCCCAGGTTGCTGAAACTCAGTACTGATTCATTAAAAAGGAACTGAACTGAAGTCACTCACTGAGCTTTGGATTTAAGGAGTGACAACATATAAAAGATGAATGGGGTGTTTTTTTTACATTAGTCATGTAAACAATGACAGATTTGTCTTTTCAGTTCTAATGAGTAACGGATGTTTGCAAAATGCTTGATTTCAATGGAGTATGTAAAACTCACTTCAACAATCCAACCCAGTAATTACACAACACATTTCAGATTGGTCCTAAAATCTTAAGTGAAAAAAAAAAATTGTAATTAATTAAGAAAATAATAATAAAATGTTCCTAGCAAATGGCAGAGTAATAAAAATATAGGAAACAGAGAATTGCACTTGCACTTAAAGAGCTCCTAAACCACTTTTTCCCAACACAAGCAGAAATAAAGCTCTATAAATTTATGAATTTCTTGAATTTGGCCCCTGGAGATGACAAGTTGCAGCTGAAGCAGTCATGACCTTTTGGAATTCAAAGCCTTTGAGATCTGGCCAAGACACAGACATATCTACAATTTGTGAATCTCAAACGACTGTGCAAACGATTCACTGAGAAGCAGAAACAAATACATTTGCAGAAAAAGCAGAGATAGAAAAGAAAACAACATAAATACTGTAAAGTCAAATCTGGCTTTCTGTAGTGAGTAATTGCTGTTCATTAAAGGCCAGCATAATGTGGCAAAATCCTGTAACTATGCTACACATGCTCTATATTTTAATGTTACAGACATTTGTAAGCTATGTATAACTCATCAGTCATATACTTTATATGTCCCAGGTCGAAAAAAATATCCCTTTTCTCCCTTTTATTTTACACAAATTGCACCCTGAGATTTGATAAAACAAAATATCCTTCGAAAGGTTTAAGTTGTGTCCACAACAGTCCACTAGCTCATATCTTACATTTTTAATACAAGCCTCATAAATACAATAATCAAACGACTATTGAACTGACCTCTATGTACAAAATGCTGCACTTATACTAGAGCGTAACATCCTACGTATACAGTAAGACGGACAAAAGCAAACAGTACATTAACCAATCAAAGTTGCACATTTTCAGAAGCGGTCGCAGAAGATTTCCCTACAGCAGCACTGCAGAATTCAAACTATTATACCTTTACAGACCATAGTTTACAGTATGACACACTGAAGTCATGCTATAATATTGTGCTGCATGTGCTGCTGTTGTAGGAATGAGACAGATGAGTGTGCTGTGGCAGTGCGTCATCCTCTCTTTATTTATTTCTATTATTGCAAATGTATAACATTATAACTGAATCTTTCTTTTATGCTCTCAAGAAATGTATCTGACATCCTCATTCAGATCAGATCTCTGAAATCTGTTTATGGCTTCCAGGGGACAGCATTACTGCTTGTCCTTACTAACTGTACTATTTATTCTGTGTCAACTGAAAAGCTGGTGTTTCTAACAATAAGTTTACAAAGTGACACTAACATTGCCCAATAACAGGAGACACTGAAGTCACAGGACACAACAGCATTTACAGTTTGTTTCACTACTAGTAGTCTGACAGAGGAAATATAGTAAGCTATCCAGAAGGAGAATATTCCTGTGGACTCTCTGCCACCTTGTCTAAGTCATTTGTTATGGAGTTGTACCTCAGCAGAGACAGAGGGAAGGACAAACTCTTCGGTTTCTGAACACAGGGGACAGTACTGAATGTCCCTTATATAATACACATCTATACTGTATGTGCTCAATGGCATATAGGGGAAATATAATTTAAATTCAACTTAAAATCTGAGGCTACATGAGAGAATTAATTTCATTAATGATGGTTGAAAATGCATAATCAGACTTGAGGAAGGACAGCGTACAGTATGTCTGCCACGAGGTTTAATATGAGAATGCACTGAAGGTGTTGGATAGTGTTACTACAGTGTGTACAGTATCTTAAAGATGTTGTGCCTTATTTGTTTCATCAGCCATTGTTGCTGCCTACCATCTGCCTGACCAACACACACACACACACACACACACACACACACACACACACACCCACGCACACACACGCACACACATTGCACTCCAGATTTTTAAATCTGATGTCCCCTCCACTACAACAGTAATCTCACTGTCTGCCTCACTAATACCCACTGCCCTATCAAGGTGGAGAAAGGAAATTCATGGTGACTTCTGGTTTGAATGAAGCAAAGTATCAATTCACTTATGTATCCTTTCACTTATTTGCCTTTAGCTTCAGCTGGGCGACCTTAGCTTGTCCCAATTTAGCATGAACGTCGACAGGCCTCTCAAAGAAGCTGACTAGGGCTGGCTCGTTGAGCAGAGAAGCCAAGACCTGCTCGAACGAGAACGACCACTCTAGCTCTGAGAGGTCAGGCGCTGCATCCTGACTGTTGTGGGAGCCGGAGGTGTCGGCGGTCTCCGGGGTGGTGGAAGCCTCTTCGGTTGAAGCCTCCTCAGCAGCAGCAGCAGCAGCAGCGGTAGTGTTGGCAGGCTTTGTGGACTCGGGGGGGCTGCTCGGCTCCTGCAGCCTGCGTCCCACCTCTTCCATCCTCAGGAGAAGGCTAGTCACATGGGCCACGGCTCGGTACAGAGATTCCTCCTCTGGATTGCCATGAAAAATGTTGTACAGGGTCTTGGAGAACTGAATGAACTGAGTCTGAGATAGAAAAAATAATAATAAGCGCGTTGTACTTCAACATAAGAGTAAACAGTCAATAAATGCAACATGGAGTGAGTTACCTGATTTATACGGGGTAGGTCCTTGATGGTTTCCTCCTTCTTTAGTATTTCATTTTGCCATTGTTTCAGGTAGGCCTGCAGGTCCACTTTTCCTCTACCTGTCAATTTCACACACAGACTCTACACTATCACACAAAACCAAGACATTTTCATGTTTTTGCTATAGCCATGGAACATTTCTGATTTATTTGGGTGAAAAACTCTACCTCTTTCAGGGCTTTTCCTTATTACACCATCTTCAGGAAGATCAAATGCTGAAATATATAAGCAGCATGTGAACAAACTGTACGTAAAAAAATGCTTCAAGAACAATCAATGCATTCAAGTGAATCAGGCAAGCATCAAGACACAATTATGACAGAATTTAGAAGGAAAGGGTAAAAGTTTCAAAGGGAAAGAAAGAGTAAAGAGGCTAACCAGTGAGTCTACTCAAGTGAGAAGAGTCTTCAGTCACTGGAATAAAGTGCTGGATTCTTTGTTCCTTTAAGTGCAAAGGACTGCCTGTAAAAGCTAGAAGATATTGACTGTGAATGCACTGAAAGGAAAGATGAAGAGACAGAGGATCCACAAGAGCAATGTAGATGGAATTTGTTAAAGAATTTGATTAAAGAAAGCATGTTTAAATTGTATCTTTTAAAAGAAAAATACAATAAATAAAAATAAATTCAAAATCCTGTGCAAAGAAAATACAGTTTTGTATTAAAAATAAAATTACCCAATCCCTCGTAAAATACTTCCTGCCTGTATTATTTGTATTTCTCACTGTACTATTATTTGAGATATATGCTATGCTATATTTCTATGCTCCAACCCCCACCAGGGACTGTGTTTGTGTGCATGCATGCGTGTCAGTTTGCACTGCTGGACTAAACAATTACCCTCACAAGCCAACAGTGTCATTATATCTGCCTGATAACTTCATACTGCATTAGCGGCAGAGTCTGAGGATCGTCATGCTGGGTAGTCGTTCAGTCTGCCATTAAATTTGTTGCTGATACAGAATGAACCTTAATGATTTTAGTGACCTTTCCTCAATCGCTCCACTCAAATTTCCACCTAAAATCTAAAATATTATTTAAAATCTAATGGGCAGATTTGTTGAACACTTCAATGCTCTTCAGAAGATCAAATTCTGACCTTTGCCTTGTGCCAACAATGTGTCAAATTGCTACTAATGATCAGCTGTGAAAACATTTACACTAAATTATACACTAGATACAGTACAGCACAAGGTAATAGTCTATTTGCCATGTGCTATTGTGTTTATGCTCCACAGATGTAGAACTGTTAATAGCGCAATCCCAATCTGAATGTTTTTAGCATTCCTATCTGTAATGCTCTCATAACATGGAAAACCTTCAGTATTTTCATTCAACACTTATGTATGTACAACCCTGCAGCCTCTAGCGGAGCTCCAGCTATAGGGTACGAGACATTTTATTGCCCCTACAGCCAATCATTACACAGATGATGTCATTGTGTAGTCTCTCCTCTCTGAATGAAGCTGATACAGCTGCTGTACTCTGTGTTTGGACTGACTATCAGCTCTAAATAGCACATGATTTCATTTCCTTGATCAATGGATCTTTTGGCCCAGTTCCAGTGATAGACTTTGATGTGGGCTCCACTCAGTCCATGAGAGCTCTGGGCTGTCCTACTGTGAAATCAGCAAGCGTTTGAGGTCACTGTGGTTTACTTTTTCAGCTCGCTCTGCACACTTTATGCAAGTGCACAACGCCGCAGACTTTGCCTGAGGGAAAAGACTACAGTACATAATGATGACAGTGGAACATCATTATATCATAAACAAAGAAAAATAAACAAAATAGTGTGTGAGTATGTCTGAGTTTAGGGCGGAGCATTGAAACCGGTCCTCTACCATCTTGTTTGGACTGTGGCAACAAGAAGGGACCTGTCCTTGGTGCTGAAGCAATATGCACTCTCCGTGAGACATAAAACAAGCTCTGCTGCTTGATGTTCACTAGCCTGGCACATTACAAGTGGTGACTCAGTACTCTTCAGCTGCTAAGCTGTCAGTTGTAATTTGAGCACTTCTTCCTCAGCACAGATCCTGTTTACAGAGAAACTAGCCCACTGCAAAACGCCCTTACATCCCCTCACACCCATCGTTGCCATGGCAAAGTTCTTTCACCCAACAGAGACTATTCTTACCCCTGCCTTCAAGCAAACACCGCCACATCATGCAGACAAGAGGCACACATTCAAGGACAGTTTCTTCCCCGAGGCAATGCGCTCACTCCACAAATGCTGAGTTATGGGCTGGATTATGGAAATGACAACTCATGCATTCTCAGGCCGATGTAACGCTATCTGATCTTATGAATTGCTTTATGCTGCTTCTGTATGTCTGTTACTGTCATGTAACGGCGTTAGTATTTGGAGACCGTAAAGGATCCAGTCTGAAAACATTTGCTTGCACTTGAACTCTGAACCTGCAGGAGTATAGGAGCAGATGTTGAAGCTAAAGATACACTAACACAAATCTATTTTGTAATTTACAATAGGCAGACGGATGTAAATGAGACAACACAATGGGTTAGCAGTTAGAGAGTCACATCAACAATAACCATAAAAAAAAAATCATTGTATCATTTAGATTAGCTGGTGTTGGCTTTATCAAAAGTTCATCACTCACCTGGGGGCAGGTGCAACTTGAACAGGAATTTCAGCTTATTTGTGAAAGATCCACTGTACAGAGTATCTGTGGGAGAAGCAATGTGAAATTATAGCAGTTGGGATACTGAGGTTAACAGCTACATTAGCTGAAAACAGAGAACAGAGGAACTTACCAAGGGCACAGCAGAACTCCTTAAAGTTGACAAGGCCGTCCTGGTTCTCGTCTATCAGGCGAAAGATCCAGAGGGAGAGGGTGCTCTTGCTGGTGCAGAAAGCCCAGGGCTCCAGCAGGGAGAAGAGCACACTGAACTGCTGGAAACCCAACTGGTACTGCTCCAAATAGGCCAGGCTAGGGTCATGATGGAGCAGAGCTGGACTCTTCATTGTCCAGTAACAGGACAGGAAATGCTGCCTCTGAAAATAGGAAACAAAAAAAACATGACATATTTGTAAATTTTTTTTTTATTATTTTGTTGTATACTGTAGAAATGTTTTTGACTCACTTTGAACAAGTTATAAAGTTCATCAAGCTGTGAGGCACTGAATTTCACTTCTTGGGACACAACCCGAATCTGAAAATAGATTTAAATTCATCCTTAATACCATGGTAACAATGCAGTTAAACTAAACACTGTAAACTCAATGACCACTTACAACATTTTGTTTGGTTGTATCTTCCAGTGTCTGGATTACGTGCAGTTTGTTTCTTTTCCGTGAACTCTCGACTTCCTCTGAACGGATATTTCCATATTTCTAAAATGAAGTGCAGTTAGTTAAAATCAACCACAGCACTGTTATTATTGAATAAAACTGACACAGGAAAAGTTTTGCAGTACCTCATAGGCCTCTCGGATCAGTTCACTGATATCCACATTAAAGTGGGATGCTTTAACGTTATTGCCAACTGAAGCTTGCTGCACCGTTGGAGGCAACGGACTGTCTTTGTTTGTCACACTGTCAAAGAATCTGAAATTACACAATAGAGAAAAAGACGAAGAAATTACAGAGTAATCATTTTTAAAATACACCAGTGCTGTTTTGTTTTTATTCACACGGACTTGTTGAGGATGGTGACCGCCTCAGCATCATCGTGGCAGCTGATCAAAGCCTCCATGTTGTAGTCCAGCACTGCCAGGCCGAGCTGCAGAATGGCTTTAATGCCGTCGTAGAAAAAACAGTCCACCACGTTCACAGCGCTCTCTATGGGCAGGACACTGATGAAGAGAGTAAGAAACCAGGACAAGGACACAGAGGAGAAGAAACTCAGGTCTGTCATGTGCTCCACCAGCTGTGGGAGATTTTCTCGAATTAGATCCTCAAACACCGCCTGGTCGACCAAAGCGCCTGAAGAAAGAAAGACAACATTTCAGAGTCTGACCAAATTCCTGAAATCATTCAAGATGTCCCAAAATGACCAGAAACAGTATTTGGCATGCTTTGCTTCCCTTCTTACCAATAATTCGGCGGTTAAAGTAATCCGGCAACATCCTCTCACAGACAGCAACCAAGAGCCAGAAAGCCTCCTCTTCTTTCGCATAGAGCAGGAGAACTGATGTGAGAATGTTCATGGCCTGAACAGGAAAGAAGGACACACTTATACAAACCAGACTACTTCAGCTGGAAGCATAAATGAGGAGGCCATTATAGATGTGTTTGTGTGTCAACAAGGGTAATTTTTCAGAGCATCAGTGCCTTTTAAGTGCTTGGCCTTTTCCTAATAAATCTCTGCTTTCAAGAGCTGCTGCACGCCTGATTTTCATGAAATGACCAATGACAGTGAAGGAGACACAGTTTTTAAAACCGTAAGGGTTAAAAGATTAAATAATAGTCACTTCACCTAAAAAAGTAACAACAAATTATAATCTAACATAAATGATTACTAGAAATGATAAAGAACGATCATGAGAGCAAATTGGCTGGACACTTCCTGGTAATTGTGTTTTTGTGTGCATGTTTTTCATAGTCAATATGTTCTTTTGTGATAACATACTTCTGGCTAAAGACTGTTCCTGCATTTTACTTCTTTTTACATCTCATAACATAACATTCAGAGTGTTCGTTATCAGTGTCAATCAGGGCGTAACTGCCTGGTAAAAGCAAGCTTAAAGAAATCAAAGTACCTGGCAGTAGCCAATTTTAGGGTTCCTGTATGCATAGGCAGTAAGGACTCTGCGTAGAGCTGAGATTCCTGTGTCACTCTGAAAGGCAGGGTGCTCTGGCAGAGAGCGGTGCAAGTCTCTCTCAATCTCATCTGTTGCCAAAGTGCTTGTGCCCAGAGACTGTTCAACCAGCTCAGTGTAATAGCCAGGATGAGTGGCCATGTCGTTCACAGCTCCTACAGAAGCAGAAACACAGTCAGTCCAAAAACAGATGGTGCCGAGATCCCACATCAACCATGTTTTACTTAATTATTTATGTCGAGGGAGCACTTGAGTAGTTACCACTTTCAATCATGCAAGGCTTCGTCAACAAGTCACTGCAGATCACTTACTGTACATAACATGACAAGACTAATGTCTGCTGTATAAATACCTGAAAACAGCATCCATAGCTCTCCTCTCAACGCCTCAGGAACACCACGAACAATCAAGTCTCGGGTCTTCCTGGTGAAGAACATACTTGTGCCACGTCCATATTCGGAAAAATGGATGTTCCAAGACTGTTCCTTCATCTTTTCCTTAAGCTGTCAAGCATGAAGACAGCACATATTTATTGTACATGCTCTGCAGTGCTGTTAAACTGGTTGTATTTCTAAGCAGATGCATGCATAATTTTTATTTAAGTCCACCCCTGAACTGATTAGACACCTACCTGCACACCCCCATTCTGCAATTTTATTACATTAAAAGTAATACAGTCAGATTCTATTTTAAGTGAATGTGTGAACACAAAATGCTGGTGAAAACATGTTTCATTTCAACGAAACTGATATTTACCATTTTGGGGTCAAGGTTTTCAACATCCTGGGGGTGGAAAACAGTCATGAGAGCCTCGGTGCTTACGGCCTTGCTGCTGTCTTTCTGTCCCACCATCAGTGTTACGTCCTCTGGGTTGTCCTCAAAGTGGTTGATGAGTGACTGGCACTCGCCTCGTATGACCTTGGTGATAAACACATATCATTTTTCAATGTCAGAAACTGCTGCAAACTACAGAACGCAAAGCAAACTGTACGTAAGGAGTACAACGGCACAAATAAAACAAGTGATAAAATACATTACCTCTGATGAAGCAGAATGCTGAGGGCTGGCACTGATCCCACACCTGCTACGGAGGGTGTTGGCAAGTCGCTGGAAGTCCCGCACTTCAGAGAAACGCAGCGCCCTCTTGCCACGCACACACACTGTTAAAGCCCTGCTGCCGGAGTCTGGCTTCTCGACATTAACAACCTGGAAGAACGTTGGCAGGCCAGACAGTCACTTTTGAAGGTTGCTGCTATTCATCAGTATGCAGGCTGCTATTTGAGAGTGTAACTGGCAGTGTTTTTATCAATCAAGTAATGCTGCCTTTGTTTTACATTACCTCTCGCATTGGAATGATGACATGGCACTGGCTCCCATCCTGGCTGGCAAAACACAGGTAGTTCTCAGACAGACAGATCTTGCCAAGCGTGTTGAAATGGCTGAAGGGCACCCACAGGAAGCTCTCATGCACCTCTAATAGATTTTCCTCTTTCGGAAGCCTGAAAAATGTCCGGAACTGCTCACTCTTTGCATGAGCTTCTAGTCCTCTGCGGGGGAAGTAAAGCAGAAAGTAAAGTCATGAGCAGAACATCATTTTGTGCTCTGGACTCTCTCCCTCCATATCAATCTTTTAGGTACTGGAGTATGAGGTTATTTAAGTGCCTAAGACAGATCATTAGAAATATAAATATTATTACAAATACTGTATATCATAGTATGAATAGCTAGATTATTTTGTTCAATGTCAGCTTCTAAATTGTTGTATCATTCTAACCTTAAATTACTATTTTTATTAAAATGTGTAAATTACAAAGCATGACTCTAGCAGATCAACATCAGCTCCAATATAACTGCCACTGGTATCATGATGTATGATTTACCTGCCACCTACCATGCATGGTAAAACAAACAAATGTTATTTGACTCAAGACTTTGTGTTTACTCTGGTTCTTCAAGTTGGCAGCCAGCATTAACAGGATCATGTAAAGCTATGCTGTGCTGTGCAGCAGACAGAAAGTACCTCTTGGTAATTTGCAGGGGGTCGGAAAGTGCCGGCTCTCTCTGGAAGGCCTCTTTATCAAAAAGGCGCTTGATGGAGTAGTCAGCCAGCTGTTCCATTATAACAAATGTTTCGTTAAGGTGCAGCAGCATGGAGAAGTAGTGATCCTCCCCATGAGCCAAGACATGGATGCTCTCAGTCAGTATAACGTTAGAGGTTTTCTCCAGCCTCCAGATCTCATCCCAGGAGATGACCAGTTTCACTGCAGAGTCATCACAATAAATTAAAATGAAATCAGTGATTAAGGCTTGCAGTTGCCAGGACAAGGATCATGAATGAATGGGCAAATGGGTGTTATTATCACTGTGTAATTCTGTTGTCTTTTTGTCCAAAAAAGTCCAATTTATCATTAATTAAAATATATGAAATGCACTGCAGAAACATTTTAAAGAATCGCTGATACCAAAAAATTTAACTGTTGAGAGCACGATTGTGAATATTCTTCAAATGTCACTCTGTGTCATGAAATTCAGTGTTATCCATTATCCATGCTGCTTTTTAAGTTTGCCTCCACTCAGCGGCCCAATACAGTATAATGGCTTTTTAACAATTATGGAAGCTGTCATTACTTAGAGCTATTTTCTAATGCAAAAATATTCAAAGATCTTTCTTTCAGGCCATAAAAGTCCACTCCAGGGGCTGTTAGGAGCTGCCAGGAGCTGCCACAGCCTTCGTTCCTACTAATCAACATTATCAGGACAAATGGCACAGAAATGGCTCACCCTCAGATCCCAGCAGGTATGAATAAAAGCACAGGAAGTTTGTGCTGAGGTAGAGCCAGCCCTGGCAGGGCACTTTGCCTCTCCAGTAGCTGCATGAGTAATATGTGACCAGCTTTTCCTCTGATGGCAGCTCGAACCACTTCTCAAACCTCAGATGTGCTTCTCGGAACTTCTCAGGATCTTCCTCCAGCACCATGGACGACTTCCCTTCCTCAGCGATAAGACCCTAAATTAAAAATTCATCGTCATCATTTGTTAAAGCTGCACAAATCCTAACCTTTACATCAACAATAGAACTAATGACTACTTGTAATCTGACTGTTGCTCTTGGTGATGAACCCACACTTATTCACCAAGTGGCCAGAAAAATGACTCCAAATAATCAGGTTAAAATAAGGGTAATATTTTACAACCCTTAAGAAGACATTATCACATTCAGTATTTTATAGCATTACAATTAAAACCCTGCTGAGAGATCTGAGTCCACAGTAAAAACCAAAGTTCTTACTCTAATCTTGCCCTGTACAAAGCTGGTAATATCCTCGCTGGAGTCAAAAACAGAGAGCGTCCTCATGATGTTCTGCTGCAGCCATTCCCAGTGCTGAACAATCTCTTCTCTGGTGACACCTGATCAACATCAAGAGTGAAAAACAATATCAGGTTTGGGTTTGTTGGTTTGTTTGTATCTCTGAAGAAAATGGACTTGTTTTATAGTCAAAAGAGTCTTAGTTGAAAGACTGGATTAGGGAATATCAGTTTCATTGTGGTTCTAGTTGAATTTTGCTGGACTTCAGTTCATTAACAGTAAACATTTTTATGCAATTTCAACTTGTGAACTAATATGCAAAATCTCCCTCTAATCATTTGACAGCACCATTAAAATGTTTGCCAGAATAAGATGAAAGTACAGAGACATACCGCATGCTATTGACCAGTACACTTGCGAGTCTGGCGTGTGGTGAAGAATGCGGTAGGGAGCAACTTTGGAAGTGGAGTCCAGCACAGTATCCAGAGTTCCCACAAGGAGGCCTGTAACACACAGTACAGTGAGATTTTCAACCAATGCTGTTACACATATGACCATGCCATGTGATGCTTTTAAAAATCAGAAAGACGGATATACCAGAATGATATTCACAGCCCTGTTTAACTTATAATACCTTAATGTATTTACTGATAAACAACCAGGATCAGACATATAAATAACTTAAAGATCCTTTAGTGGCACCCCACTAACAAAAACCTGAATCTGTGTTCAATAATGCAGTGTATTAAAATTCATTTCCATCAATCTTTTATTTATACTCGGCCTTGCAGTGTTCAAATCCCTCAGCTCACACAACTAAAATTAGCAAAATCTGTTACCTTTACTACTTCTCTCTGACATGCCCTCCATGAATAATTAACAAGGTCGCAGTGAAACCGCACTCATGCACTGTATCAGCATTATACGGCCCTGCCCCGCTGTACAGGGATCAGCTCTCCACATGGTCTACCACTGGAGCTGTCGTGTACAAAAGGATTCAAAGGATCAAACACAGTGCACATAATTTATGTTCTCATCAGTGCAGAACAACATCATACAGTCGAGGATATACTTACATGCATAAAAGACACTAGACATAAAAGACTCTTGTGTTGGAGAGGGCTTCAAGTGCAAGCATGCTATGTACAATCAGGTAGTATTTAACCTCCACTATCATTAAACCAGTCAGACACAACATCAGTCCTCTTGTCTCTGGCTGGAACACCATTCATTATCATTAATTATCTATTAATTACCTTACAGGCTGTCACATTGTGGCATCTGGTTAGAAACTGTAGGTTACAATCATTGGTGGTATTACTAGCAGCACTACTTTTAAACTGTCAGGTGACAATGATTTAAAAAAAGAAAAAAGAAAAAAAGATCCAAGTTAGCGAAGCAGGCGACGCAGTTTTAGACAACAGCTTGTGTCTAAATCAGAAACTCACTGGATGTTGCACGACTTAAAGGAGGATGCAACTGTTACGCAACTACTATAACTGACTACGGGTTACTTTGAACGTGCAGCACTCTTTCCTAATACTGGAAGTACAAAATCCATTTGAGTTCACTTGTTGTCCCCTATATCACAAGAATAGTTAAATATAAAGTTGAGATATAAAATCTACAAGAATCAATAAAACAAAAAGAAAACAAATTCACAATAATCCATACGGAGTGATGCAACACAAGAATGACCGTTCCTTCCTAAAGACTTCAAAAATATCTTATCAGTAGGTCTGCTAATAATATTACTGGCCATATATTCACAGTCCCATTGGAAGAGAAGTGGGAAAGCTACCAGCTATACAAACGTTCTGCAGTAGAGCTGAAATGATAAGTTCAGGAAACGATTAGCTGATCAATAATAATCAACAGCCAGTAATTTAATTAATTTAATAAAGGAAAAATGCAAAACATGTACTTGTTTCTCAAATGTGAGGCTTTGTCGCTCGTTATGTTTCAGCACAATATTAATGTAAGTTCAATAACTTTAGGTTGTGGACTGTTAATAAGTGACAGATTATTCAATAATGAAAACAACAACAACAACTAGTTGTCTGTAAAAACAACAGTCAGGGTTTTCTCTCCCTTGCTAAAAATATGAGTCTCACTTTAGCAGATGTGTGATGTAACCTAAATTACAGTGACAGCTCAACTAAGCATCAGTGTCACCACAGATGCTGACACATGTGCTGCCCAGGGAGCAGCGAGCCCCTGACACTGCAGTCCCACCAGAAATCAGAAAGGGTTTTCCTGTTAGATTTCAAGCCTCAGCCAATTTGGTGCAAATATCCACAAACTGACTGAAGTGGCCAGAGGACATGCAGTCAGTTAGCTGCCCCAAAACGCTTGATATTCAGTGTTTGTGTCGGGCTGGTAATGTGACTTCAGCCAACAATCTGACACAACAGTGGCTCAGAGTCAGCAGGCCTGTGTGCGTCCTGTAACCCAACCACAGGCACAGGAAAGCAAATGAACCGTTCAGTGGACACAGACTCTCCCCCCCCTCCTCCTCAATGTCAACTCTATGCTGCAACAAGCCTCAAAACAAACCAAATAAGTACTGACACGTAAACTCAAAGAGATACCTTCAGTCCCGCAGACTGGCCCGTCAACACGAGGAGAAAGCAGCTGTTCGGTGCCTGAACTGACCCGTGTTATTCTGGCTCATACCTGTTGCTATGAGGGCATTTTCTCTGTGGACGTGTGGGCTCACAGCAGCACCCGCCCTGTGCACGGCAGACGGGCTCGTTAGCTGTGAAAACGTAAGGCGACTTAACCCGTTAATAACTTTATAGTGCATCTAAAATACGGTTCAGCGGAGCCGCTACAGCCGCCGTCCTACACATGCGACGAGGTGGCAACATGGACCGCTAACGTTACCTGTCAACCCGCCTCCACCTTCTCCGTACCCTCGCCTCCTTTGCAGTACGAAGTAGTCGTTATCCTTCTCGGTGACCCATAATTTAAACGCGTTTTTCAGCAGAATCTCTTCGGGTTTGAGCCACATGTTTCAAATGTCATGGAGTTATCTGTTAAATCCGCCTGACATGTCACGGTTATCTGTAACGTAGCCCGACATCAAACCCGTGGACGTTTGTTTGTGTCCGAATCCCTCCCTTCCCACGTCGACAAGAAATGCTCGCCGAGGTCGCGGTGCATTCTGGGATTGTAGTTTCTGACGATAAGGCGGTCCCAGAGGACTCATTCTGTGGGACAGCTGGGTATTTCATGAATGAATGGGAGGGGGGAGGGGAGGGAATGGCGAGGGGCGAGGGAGGGGGAGGGACGACCCGCTGAACAATGTCCATTTGCGGTCGTATGGATGGTGGCTAAAAAACAAAAAACTTTTTTTTCTTGCTTCTATATAGAGTTTCCTTTTTCTCAGAAATCAATGACTCGCGATTGGTTTGACGTCAAATTGGTCAAGAGAATAATAACAGAGGAATGTTACAGAGAAATAATCAATCTGATGATTGATTAAATTAAGATGTTATACATCTCATTTATTTATTTTATTGTTTATTGTCTCTATTTGTCTGATTATTGGTGAATTTTTTGGTATCTTGGGCGGGGTATTCTAGTATTTTTCGGAGACTTCGTGTGTGACGTGCTCTTAGTGGCGGCACAGAGGATGTGACCATAGGCAAATTGCCTCGCTGAGTGGAAAGCAAGTATCAGGGAACGAGGGTGTGGGAAAAGGCTTGGAAGGAAGAATCCAATGCGTAATCCTGCTTTTAAAAGAAATAATAAAACGTAATTGTTGAGGTTGTTACCAGATGAATTTAGTTACATTGTTGTCGCAGAATTGATGGTTTTTCTTGAGTTTGAAGCTAGAGAACAGTTTGTAGATAATGATGCTTCACGTGATCTTATGAAGTATTTTGTCGTGGGATGACCACTGGTAGATATGCAGTATCGGGTTTATTATTTACATTTGTGTTTGTATGTGTTGCGTTGGTTTATGAGTATTGTTGGGCCTTCTGGTATCTGTTATTTTTTAGTGTAAGTGTTAGTGGTACGATGTATGTTTAAAAAGATTTTTTTTGTGATTTCTTAAAGCTTGCCGACACATTTTCTCAGAGGTGTGGAGCTCCGCCCGGTATGACTGGTGTTGAAGATAAGATAACCAGAAAGGATTACACATGCTTGGTATCTCGACGGAGGAACAATAGACAGCTTTGTTAGTTATCAGAAAGACACAAAGAGGCTAACAAGGGCATACAAGCTATTGGTAGCACTGTTAGGAGGTAGGATGGACAGAGCAGAGCATCCGCTGTGTCTTCTCTTGTCGTTTAAGCCGCGCGTCTGCCCGAGATGAACGCCAGAGGTACTCTTAGAGATGAGCTGTGGTTAGTCAGGTTTACTTGCACAGGGTGCTTAGGAAGGCCCTTCTTAAGGACTCAATAAAGCAGGTGCACTCTTCTGGGGAATCTGTAGTAAGTGGTTAAAGGTGCCAACGGGTGCAAGTACACGTATAGCCACATGCCACATCATTCAGGTCTGGACTAAACTTTACACCACATGATTTGGGCAGCTAACAGGGAAGAGGCGAAAATAAGAACTCCTGCCACCCATCTCTAAGGAGGCAAGTTGAAACATGGGTTGTAAATTCTATTTGTCTACGTTCGATTCGCTAGCCGAGTAATGCACGGTGAACTCAAATGCCCTTGCCAGGCCACCGAAACTGCCAGGAGGTTTAAAGGATGGATGCCGTTGTTCTCTCTCTCTTATTAATATGAGAGCGAGAAGTGATGTATTTAATATGATGGATTTTCTGAAAGAGTCAGCTCTCTAATTAATAAAGAATATCTCAATATTATATACTGCATGGTGT